CGCAATCGATTCGGTGTAATTTTACTACGGGGAACTGTTTCGAAAGACTCCGCTTCGGGAATCGGAAAATTGATGAAACATAAACGTAATCTGATTGCGTAAAATCGGAACGAGTCGGAGAATTCGTGAAATATAAAGGCAATCTCGTTCCTCTCGATTTTATGAGCAACGATTCGATAAGGGGGCGGGAGGGAAAATATATAAGAAATAAAGAAACGAAGGCCTAGGGTGACAGCGGAATCCACGGTATCTAGGTAACCACGGCTGAAAATGTACTTGCTCTTCCCATTTGTGATATATCCCGAGTTCATATAGTAACGATGTTAAAGGAAACAGGATATTGGCTTTTTGCAGTTCACTGAGCTGCGTTTTTAGTCGGCGAAGAATTATTTCAGCGCGAGTTTTTACAGGGATGGACGTTGAAATCCGATTACATTGTAAAAGCTCTGACATGCACGTAGTGCATGAACATACTTGTCAATGATAAATCAAGCTTCCGCATCACGGGTGAATGGCGAATAATTCACGTATTTCGGCTATCATGCCGACCGTCGCATAGACGCAGTTATTTGCTGATATCATGGCAGACTGCTCGCGTGTACGGTGTTTATGCAGATACTGATTTATCTTATAGCAACATATTATCGGCACTGCCACCCTGCGTCGCTGTCAACCCCTACGGCAATCGTGTATCACTCGAGTTTATCTCGCAGATGCAAATTATGGGGCTGCAGGTGGCTAATACATCGTCCCGAAATTTCGCGTTTTAAATTGTCTCGTTGTATCTTGTATCGTGTAAATTGCTAAAAATGATCAGATATACGAGTGCAATTTTTATTCGCGAACAAACGAGTCTCGCGTGTCCACTTGTCCCGTCTACCTTGGAATTTGTTTCTCGCGGTATAAGAAAAGGTGGCGGGTAAATGGTGTCTCGGAGAGATGCGGTAAACAAGTGGGAAAAAGTGTCCCTATAGAAGTAGCGAATCATCTCGAATTACTTTCAGTTTCTTCGTGAGCCGGATTTCAGCCGTGAAAGCGCCATTGTTTGGGGTAAATAGAATTCGGCCGAAAGGGGGTGCATCGAGGTGGCCGTGATCGTAAAAAGAGTAAACGAATTCACATGGAATGAACGTCGAATGGGGAAACTAGGGTGACGCCTAATGGAAAGTACTTGTACTTAGCCTGCCCTTAGGGTGAGTCATCGATAACACCTAAAAATAGGGTAAGACGTTCGACTGGATTCTCTGACTTCCGGGTCACCGTCGTTCCTATGTTTAATTCGCTTTTCTCCAGTTTTTCTTCGCCAATGAAATTTATTTTCGTACTCTCCGTCGTAGCGACAGGAATCTAAATTATTCGAGAGAAAGGAAGAGCCATTATCATTTTCGGATACTGAATCATCTTCGAAATATTTCTCGTAGGATTCGGCGAATAAACGAATTCGAACTCATCTCAGGAAACATTCTTACAAGCATAATAAAAATGGTCATTTGCCAACATTTTCTCTACCATTCGAATTACTAGCTCCATTTTATAGCCTGGAACACTGGTTAAATGCAAACATAATAATTAGCACCTATAAATTAAAAGAGAAACCGCAAACATTTAACACGAAAAGTGTAAAAATTCTCAATAGGGTTAAATAAATTAATAAATAAATTATGATAGAAAGAAAGTGTTAGTGGTGGATGAAATATCATTGACAATAACGATTCTTTATTTAATTACAAAAAATGATCAAACACAAATATTAAGTATAAATCTAATTAATTTCTCACAATCCCATGGACACACATATTTTCACTATTACGATTCAATTACAACTGAGCTATGCCCAATCTCTCTGGTTAGTTCTTTCTACTTCCATACATTACATGAACATACACAATTCGCCCAACACCTCAATCATCATACGCATACTCATTTATCTCAATAACCTGCATCCATTAGATATTAACATCCCATGCATACTTGTTCCACTCATTCCTTTCTTACAGACGTCGCTTCTTTATTATATCAATACATATATATTAAAAATCTGTGTTAACCATTACCTCATACTATACTTCGTTGAGTTAGAATTATTGATCTATAGTGTGTATTTAAACAAGAACTAAAATTATTTTACAGAATTATTTACGTAATTAATAATAATCGAAAGGGCGTAATAGAGGTATACCGAATTTGCTTTGTGTCTCGTTGAAAATTAATAATTTAAGTTCGATTAACTTGGTAATTCTAAAATTGATCATACAATTAGGATAAATGAATAAGTCCTTTTCTACAAGATCCTTGTTTAGTGGTGGATGAAATATCAATAACAATAAGAACGATTCTTTATTTAATTACAAAAAATGATCAAACGCAAATATTAAGTACAAATCTAGTTAATTTCTCGCAGTTACATGCTCACACATATTTTCACTATTAGGACTCAATTACAACTGACCTATGCCCAATCTCTCTGGTTAGTTCTTTCTACTTTCATACATTACATGAACATACACAATTCGCACAACACCTGAATCATTACACGCATACTCATTTATCACAATAACCTCAATCCTTTATATATTGGCATCCCATGCATACTTGTCCCACTCATCCCTTTCTTACAGACGTCGCTCCTTTATATATCACACATATATGAGCTGTTCACTGCACAAATTGATTAACTCCGTAAAACAAAAAGTGAAGAAATGCAATGAAATAATGTATATAGTTTTTTAAAATTCCCTTTATAATTTAAATCAAATAAATATTGTAGAATACATAAATACAAATGTAACTTTCATCTAACGCTATATAAAATTTATAAAAAAAAAATAGTCAAAAGGTAATCGTTAGTAATATTACCATTTTTATGTTACTTTTTTGGAAGAGTTAATCGATTTGGCAATTGAGAAAATAATATATAAATCAATATAAATTATCTCAATAACCTGAATCCATCAAATATTGGCATCCCTTGCATACTTATTCCACTCTTCCCCGTCTTACAGACATCGCTTCCTTATTATATCAACACATATACACGTGTTAAAAAATCTGTGTAACCATTACTACAAGAAGAAAATTCGAATTATCATTCGAAGAAAGGAGCGCTTTCGGTTTATCCCAGAAGGCTTGCAACCCAATTGCGTCAAACGGAAATCTCCACGATTCCGAACGAATCTACCCCTAGATACTGTCAAACACGTGTAACAAAGGCACGAAAAGCCCTTTACATCTGCCACGTAACATTTGGTTAAATAGCATGGCATATTGACACGATTGTCGTGAAGTTCCCCGGTCCGGGGTTAAAACTGCCAGCCCCTGCTGAATCGACCCTACCCACCCCTATTCCCCCGTATTTCGTCGAACCTAATTTCGAACGCGTTACGAACGCTTCCGCGACTCGTTTGGCTAGCCGTCCACGATCCGTTTACCATCCGATATTAATTAAAAAGTGTTTAGAACGTGGGCCGAGAACAACGCCGTGTTCCCGTGTCATCCGACCGAAATTTCGCGATGTTTCCACGTTATAATTCTGGGTTAGGAGGCTTACCAAAGTAGGCCGAGCCGTGAAACCGGCGGAAAACTTCACTCGTCGAGTAAGAGAGGGCCGCAGCACCCACCACTCTCTTTTTACCTCTTCGTCTCTGTCGTATCGTATCCTTGCCTCCACCCCTTTCCCGTGTCTTTACCTCTCTTCGCTCTTGGCTTGTCTTTCTTGCACTTGCCCGTCATCGATCTGTGTACCCATCATTGAGTCTGCCCACTTTCCACGACACTTACGTACTACTTTCGTGATACGTTCCGCCGCGAAGATGGCCGCTTAAAATTTTCAGTCGTTTCCTCCTTTCTTATCGAAACTCTACGTGACAGCTATTTTTATGCTTTTCAAGCCTCGTTACATTCTCACGGATGCGTTCTGAAAAATTAATCGCTACCTTTATGATCTCGATTTTATTTCGATCTGAGGTTGGCTACCTCTTCATCGAGGGAAATTTATTTTGAAATAATTAATTGTATTCGAGATTTTAGTTGGTAGCTTAACACTTTGACTGTCACGTTGCTCATATATGCTATGGTTGGTTTCTCCTGTGACGTCACGCTGGTCATTGAAGCGCTTGAACTACTTACGATTGTCAGAATTAACAGTTAATTAATTGTCAACCGTTACCAAGGCACCACGGTGGTCATTGGTGACCGGAACGCTTGAACTACTTGAACTAAATTGAACAACATTGAATGAAAATTGACAGTTAGTGCATTTTGAATATAACCGCTAATTAGAAGGTACTTTAAATTAAAATGTACCTCATTGAGTAACTAAAAATTTTTATTAGAACATCAATAAAATATTAAAACAAATCTTGCATCTAGCGGTGCATCTCACCTGGAGTCCTGAACGAAACATGTGATTTCGGCGTGGCAGTCAAAGTTAAGTTAATTGTATATATTTTTATCCGTTAAATAGGAGAAGCCATAGACTGGTTCTTGCTTTGGGAATTACAGAGGGTAGTATCGTGACTAATGGTAATTACTCGAATTGTTTAATTGCACTTTATGTGGACGTTATTGCGATTTATCTCGCTGTAATTTTAAGTTTCGACTGTTTGTCTTTATTTTTATTTGCAATTTCGTATTTACGTTTCCCATGGTGAACTTTTATTTCGCAGTGTTATCGTGTACGTGAAACACGTTGCAATTTTAAACACCTATTCGTAGTGAACGCCGTTAAAAAACCCGATGAAATTTCAACGAATTTAACGTTAAAATTTAAGAAATTAACGATGGAATTATAAAATTGGTACGAGAAGGTGTTAAAATCGCTTGATTAAATATTCGCTGATTAATTTTTCAGTTCGTTGGCTTGTCGGGGCATTATAAATTTCCATTGTGGAATCAATCACACGGTCATTAATTAATCACGTGGCTGTGACTTCTAGAAATTCATTGAACAATCGTGTGCCTCTCTCTCTCTCGCTCTTGCTGTTATATTATTACTGTTTCAGGTCACAAATACTTCGGCGGCGGGGATTCGTCCAGTAACGAGCACTAATTGCGCCGATTTTACGTCTAAATTAAAGGGTATCGCCGGTATTCGATATTCGATGTCACACGGGATAGTTATCATGTGAACTCGAGCGTGCATTTGTGTCGTTTAACCGTAACGGCTGTTTCACGAAACAATTATAACAGCGACGTGTATCTTTAATCTTCCTAATTAACAGGCTCGACGACCGTGACGTTGTCCGATTTTTTCGAGCAACCCCTATTGCGCCAGGCGTTCGACGGATTGTGATTAAGCGTCCTATTCTCTTCTCTTTTCCTCCTTTATTTTAGTCGCCTGCGAATGTAACGAACATTTTCTATACACTCGTAAACGGCGTGACGGATTTACGCTTACACTGTGTGGACAAACTGTGTACATAACGCTTGTAAGGTAACGAACAAGGATAAATAATAAGTAATAACGTTTAAGCGGTAGATAGATCGAACGATGGTTACTAACGTAGATTTAGAGATCGAGCAGCAAGCTTATCCTTTGTTCGATCGATTGTATAAGAAACGAAAAGAGCTTAACGACACGATCGATCGTCAGATCTCGCGTTTAAACTAGAAATTTAGGTTCGTGTGATTTCGAGCAGCAGCTTTCGGTTAGCAGGATTCACGGATGGTGGTAGATGAGCCCCTGCCCATTCTGTGGAGCCATGGCACGAAGAGAAACAGGAAACTCGAAAGTAATTCGATTTACCCAACGTTGAACCTCGTTTTTCTTCTTATTTTTCCTTTCTTTTTTTTTTCTTTCTCTTCCAGCTGATCGCCGTAGGTTTTAAGAGTTCTAGGTTTAAGAACACTCGAGACTTGGTGGAGAATTGTCCTGGTATAAATTGTAAAGTACATATATCAATAAAGGAGCTGATGTAATACGAAGGAGAAATGGAATTCTTCCGTCATCTTTTCCAGGAGATAAGCTTCCTTCATCACGTGCTCTCCAAATTTCCTGCTCGCTCTTTCGAAATCCAGACCTTGTGCAATGTCCTAGGTGTTAATACCTCTGTCCTAGTGCAATCTTTCGTTCAATCGTCGATGTACAAATGTAAGGCTTAATAGCTTTTCAGTTGTTTGTAAGTTCTTTTCAAACGGTGTACTGTAATTTGTTTGACCGGATTCGGAGGAATCGCAAGTTTCCATTGTTGCGTTTGAACAAAGGAAATGTTGCAAATTTTAGAGCCCGAGTAAGTTTAGTTCGACAAAGGAGGTGGTGGTATAAAACTTGAGAGCCACGTTTATTACACACCAGCGTTGCACGATTGCGGCCAACGCGATGGACCCTTAAATACGAATGACAGTTTCATTTCGCCGCAGTCTGAGGAATAACGTTGCCGTTTTAACTTAATATTTCACGAGGATTCCTTTTTATCGCTTTTTCAGAAGTCTCTGTTGGAAGGAGAATATTCCATCGCGTTCTAATTCCGGAAATATAAAAGCGATCCGTCAAAAAATTCTGGCACGTCGAATAATTCGTGCCAGTGGTTAACCAGGTGCTATCCTTAAATCACTGCTCTATCGTACGTTTATTTTCGTCTCTGTTAAATCCCGGATACGAGACAAATTTGAATTAACAACTAATACGTACCCTTGTATCATTTTTAAAAATTTTATAACCTAGAGTCAACTGATATAGTCTTCTAAACCCAAGAAACATTGTGCAAATAAGAGTTCATAAGTTGTAATTCCAAAAATAGAAAAGTGATCCATCCAAAAATTCTAGCACGTCGAATAATTCGTGCCAGTGGTTAACCAGGTGCTATCCTTAAATCAATCTTCTATGGCTCGTTTATTTTCGTCCAAATTTGCCATTTTTGAATTAACAACGAATACGTACCTTTCTAACATTTTTAAAAATTTTCTGATCTAGAGTCAACTGATATAGTCTTCTAAATCCAAGAAACATTTTGAAAATAAGTTTTCATAAGTTCTAATTCTAGAAATAGAGAAGTGATCCATCAAAAAATTCTAGGACGTTGAATAATTCATGTTAGTGGTTAACCAGGTGTTACCCTAAGAGCAATCTTCTATCGCTCGCTTATTTTCGTCCAAATTTGACATTTTTGAATTAACAACAAATACGTACCCTTCTAACATTTCTAAAAATTTTATGATTTGGGGTTTACTAATATAATCTTCTAAATCCGAGAAACATTGTGAAAATAAGATTTCATAAGTTCTAATTCCAGAAATAGAAAAGTGATCCATCAAAAAATTCTAACACGTCGAATAATTCGTGCCAGTATTTAACCAGGTGTTATCCTTAAATCAATCTTCCATCGCGCGTTTATTTCCGTCCAAATTTGACATTTTTGAATTAACAACGAATACGTACCTTTCTAACATTTTTAAAAATTTTCTAATCTAGAGTCAACTGATATAGTCTTCTAAATCCAAGAAACATTTTGAAATTAATTTTCGCATATCTATCTACCAATAATATGAGTAATTTTAATTCGTGGAACATTTTCACAACCTGTCAATTCCCTCGTGTCACGATTGTCGTCAAATAAGCGCCCGTGCCAGGGAATATAGAGAGATTTTCGTTTCACCGACTTCGTTTCGTCTCGGAAAATCGAAAAAATGAATCGATAATCGATTCGCGTTACGTTTCAGACGTCACATCATTCTCGCGTGTGTCTCTCCTCTCTGTACACGTTTTCGGATTAAAACCCGTTCCTCTTATTACTTCTCGTTTCGATATTGCCTGCCGTTTCCCGATCGAAATTAAAAACACGTCGCCAAGGGATGCCCCTTTCAGCGGCGGCCGTTCAATCCGTAGCGAAATTTCATTTTCACCGTGATTCAACGAAACTTACGGCCCTCCCGTAGGGCGAATTTGCTCGTAGCATAATCTGGAAGGCCGCGTCCATTACCGCATCCGTTGAAATGATAGACAACGGAGCAAGAACGACGGTACCGTTGCCCCGGCATCCTGGAGCGCTGTGCATCGTTAGTCGAAAGTAATATCCAGGCGGAAACCCGATGGACGAGCAGCTTAACGATACGACAGTCAGGAAAGAGACTAATGATCGTTGGACGCGAGAGAGTCAAATCATTTCCTAAGAAGGCTAATGTTCTGGAAAAAAGCAGAGGCTGCCTTTGCTCCTGCGTATCCATTCTGACGGATTAAGCCGGTCTTTCGATCATCACTTTAATCAAGCTAACTGGTGTGCAAAAACGAGGAAGAGGAGAAGAACAAGAAGAGAGAAAGACGTCATTAGCCGGTTAATCTTCAACCCCCCGAGCTTTCGTCCATTGTTCGCCACGCGAAGTGGGGTGGCTTGATCGCGACCGAGACAGTCGAGCCGAGTTATTGCAGTCGCCGAGATTAGCCTTGTACAGTCACAGTGGCAAAATATAATGTACGATTGAATATGCATCAGGGTCACTGAATATTAATAGCCCCACGATGGCACAACAGATTCCCTCCCGTTCGTTGTAAACAATTTGCTATGCACGAGGAGCTGTGATTTTTTCGCCACAGCCAGAAGGATGTCTGGAGATGCGACGAGGCGCGATCGAATTTTCGAATTGTAAATTTCCCGCGAAATTTAACGGGATTTCACGCTTCGCGGAACTTCGAAACTCGCGATTTCGGATGTCCGGAATGATGCGATTACTGTGGTAACGAATCTGTTAGCGAGCGGAGTTGGTATTTCGAGAACTTTCTGCTCGATCGGAAAGGAATTTTCGATAATTTATCGATCAACGTTGACTACGTTAGCTGCCGAGAAATTAAACCGTATCTTCACGATGGACGTGAAATTATGAGCACTCCAATCCGTGTTATACGTATTTTTACTTTTACGAATCTATTAGACTCGACAAGAATATTCGATGATACCTCTGACGATGAAATTACGTACCTGAAATGTATGTAATTATACCTAAACACATACCTAAACACGGTATACTAGTATAATGGTAATTAAAAATGCGAAACGAGTCGATATTAATTTTATTACAAACAGGTGAAGAAATACAAAGTTCGAAACCACTCATTTTGATCGTAGACCTACTGAAGAAATTAGAGGAAATATTCAGAAAATATTAAAAAATTCCGTCACTCGTTCAATATTAATAATAATAATACTTTATGAACTGACAGAAGTCCTTTGGTACACGATAAAAATAGTAAAATGAAATATACAATAATAACGTAGTAGTATAGTAATACAGAAAATAATGGAATAGGAAATAATTAAAGAAAAGGAGAAGGAACAAACAAAAGAAAAACTTAATAAATAAATAGTTGTGGTCTAGTTGAGCCTAGTCTAGTTCTGAGGTCTAGTTCTTATCTTCTGCACCTGTAGACCTACTGAAGAAATTAGAGGAAATATTCAGAAAATATTTAAAAAATTCCATCACTCGTTCAATATTATTAATAATAATACTTTATGAACTGACAGAAGTCCTTTGGTACACGATAAAAATAGTAAAGTGAAATATACAATAATAACGTAGTAGTATAGTAATACAAAAAATAACGGAATAGGAAATAATTAAAGAAAAGGAGAAGAGACAAACAAAAGAAAAACTTAATAAATAAATGGTTGAGGTCTAGTTGAGCCTATTATCGTTTCCTTCTCTGCGTAACAAGCGATCCCATGAAAGTCAGGAATTTAATGGAAAATTCCAACTTAGGTGAAAGAGGTGGTTATACGTAACCATAGAACACCCTCGTCTAGCAATTTGACCGAGCGAATGGAGAATATCTACGGTCACGTCGATAACCCTTGTAAGTTCGTGTATTCGAAAACCACAACTTGGAATAGAGAACGTCGTCTCATCCATTACAAGGCTACCACCGAGAGAATTTTGAAGCAGTGCGGTAAACCCTATGAGTCGTCCTGAATCGCAGGATCAACGATATACTGCTGCCAGAATACTAATGCGGATCTACGTCCCTCCACTGCTGCCATCGATAAGTAATGACCTTTTTCCACCATGACATGACTGCTCCCCGAGATAGGTCTGCAGTTTAAAATCAATCTTCCAAGGTGACATGGCATTGGCCAGACTGGCTTTCTATTTTATTCATCGACTGTCTGACGCGTTATAAAAGCAACATCTGCAGCCAATGGACTTTCTTCTTTGTACACCGTGCAGAGAGAGAGGCAACAAGAGGATATTTATCCTGCTGTCGTGTCATCTGAACACGTAGCTGCCGGGTGCTTTGCCTTTAAAATATTTATCTCCCTAACAGGTTTATCTTACCACGTGTTTCGCTAAACTGTTGTTGCACAAACGTACAGGATTTCAGTGGCAGCGAGACTTATACTCCTCGAGTGACAATGTATACTACTATTTGCACGACTCTGAGCATCTTTCCAGCAATTTTCAAAGAGCCTTTGACAATAAGACAAGCGTGTCTACGAAGAATTAGTGATACACGAAAATTTTTTATTTTATTTAACGTATAATTACAATCAATTCCTAAGGGGAATTACGAGTAATTCTGTTGACGTGAGTATCATGACATGACATGTAAAATGGATTACTTTATATTCACTTGTTAGAATATTATTAAACATTAACCCTTTGCACTCGGTGATCTTTTCGTTACAGAACATAGTAATTCGAAAACCTTCTGCCATAAGGTCGACAATATTTTGAAAACGGTAAATAATTATTATAATTATTTTATCTGGATATTCCACGCATTGTTGGGCAATTTTAAATTCGAGATATTAATTAATAATTATGTTTAGAATTTGATTAAATAGTGACTGAGAGTCGCCTCTCGAGTGCAAAGGGTTAAATCTA